TTTGAATTCATTATAATCGATAAATGTGTAATGGATTCGACAAATAAACCAACTTTCAATGTAAACATGTTGGCGACCACAGTGGGAGTCAACAGCCTCATTACCGAGCTTGTCATGCCGCAGCCGATGAGCAAGATCCCGGTTAATTTAGAAGTCGAGTACGAGTTCGACGATGCTAAGTTCGAGGAATATTTCTCCTCATCTTCATCAGAATCCTCCTCTCCTTATAAGTGCGGAAAGATCTCATCTTTGAAGGAGGCGTATTCACCAAAAAGGCTACAAATGACTCTGCTCATCACAACTCCTCCCCAGTAAAGGAGTTGTTCAAACAAAGTACGTAAACTCTGACGAAGAGGGCTCATCAGAGACGACGCCAACGCCAACGCCAAGCTCGTCAAATTGCCAAAGCATTGGAACAAGCCGATGGAGTTCGCTACTACACAGACTTAGAGTCTAGGAAGCATCAGGTAATCCAGCCGCCCCAACGGTAAGTTGCTGCTACTTCCACTGAACCATCAACAGGAGAGTGGGTTCTTATCAAAAGGACTCGTTCAACCTTGAAGGAGCACATCTAAAAATAACGCGTACGTGTTGCACGTGGGCGTGCTTTTGTGCGAAAAGCTCAATGCATGCAAAAGGAAGAGGTGGCAAAAAAACCACTGAAATCCAAACAAGTATGGGTGCCGAAGGCCGAAATAGCGCCAAAATCAACTCAGAAAGCCTTTGATCCCACTCCTCTTGCTCCCACACCTCCGACGAAGCTCTACGGTAGTGTGGATCTATCCAAATTTAAGATTCCAATAAAGGATCGCCTGGGTCCTTTATACGAAGATCGGCTATGGTGAATAAAACCCGAGTAATTCCTCAGGCTGGGGGGCATACAAACACTCCCATCAAGCCAAAGGCCATTCAAAGGTGTCTCACCGCCTCTAAACAAACTGGGGTACCTTGTTGTACATGTTAGTGCACCGTGCACAAGAGGACTCCTGGCATCGATTGCCCGGGGGTTCGTATTGAAACCCAGAAGCTCGTTAATACCTCATGCTCGCAAGGGGGTAGTTCTAAACGTGTGACTCCTGATGTGACCTTGGATCATTCAAAGGCAACAACAAATCATCCTAAGAATATCAACAAGGTTCTTCTTCCCCAAAAGAAGACATGTCCGTCAAAAGACAATGTTACACTTGGGGTATCACACCAACAAGCGATGAATTGCTCCAATGAGCTGCACCATCAGGCTGGGGTGTAAATAAATCCTAAAAGGATGATGTCCAAGAAACTAACTGCCACTATCCATGTGAGAGGCTTATCAGGATGGTATTATCAAAATATAGCTGTCCTAGGACCATTTCACAAAGGGTCTCGATATTTGATAAACTTGACATCGAAGCGTCGAAGCCTAAGCCAAGATGTTTCCACGAGAGAAAATTCACTGTTCAGGATGACGAATTCCCTAAAGTTACCATTAATATGGTTGACAAAGGAAAGTTTATCATTACTTCAAACGGCTCTAACCCCGACTTTTCTCCCGGAAGGAAAGTCAATTTAGGGATAGCCCAACGAATGTCTCAGCTCCAGGTGGAAGCCATCGGACATAGGGATTACCTAAGGATGCACGAAAGACTGTCTTTAGAGACGAACTGTCAGATGCTTGCTCCGCAATTGCCTCCAAAGACACAATGTCCAGCATGGGGGAAACAATGGAGTCGTTAATGATCACTCCTGACCTAGTGACTCAAATGATTCAAGAGGCTTTAGCTCGACAACAAGAAGAGCTTAGAGCTGAAATGAACATGCAAATGGAGCTGAACATACAACGGGTGAGGGAGTTACATGACGAACAATTTTAAGCTTTACGAAATTAGCAAGCTGAATCCAGCCGTCACACCCAGAACATCACAGTTGACGACGATCCAGAAGTAGACGAAGTCATTAGGGCTGATGCACCCCCTAAAAATACTAAGAGTGGTCCAATCGCACCGCTCAATAACACTGGGGATGGTTCAAATGTACACCTCAATATCGCTAGGGGTGGTTTAGTTGATCTTTCTCGACATCCTCCGAAGAAAGATGCGGGCAAGGACAACAAGATGATGCACGAGCTGGAGGATAAGGTCAACGCCTTGCTATCGGCTCAAGAAGTAAAGATGATCGGTATTCCGTGTCTATATCCAAGAGAGTGGGATTCAATCCCGTACCTGGTGAAGTTTAATCTAATTAACTCCACGCTGTTTGACGGGAGAGGATCACCCACTCAATATTTGATTTACTTCAAATCATATTTGGGAATAATCTCCGGACATGAACCCTTGATGGTCCGGTCATTCGTTGGCACCCTTCATGGGGCCACCTTCGATTGTACCGCCATCTCAAGCGGGGGAGTGTCAACAGCTGGGACAACATGGAAATCACATTCCTTAATAACTTCTTCGACAATGACACTGAAGTGTTAATCAGAGCCCTTTTGGACGAGAAGTAAAAGGACGGGGAGTCAGTTGACAGCTTTGTCAAACGCTTCCGCAATAAGGAAATGAATTGTAAGGATCCGTCACGGAGGAATTCATGCTCCAGACATGTCACAATAACCTTTTCATTGATATCCTGGAAGTCCTGGGGGTCGTGCCTTCCACTACCTGGAAGGAATTAAAATTGCATGGTGAACAAGCCAAATACTTTCTCAAAAGGAAGAAAACCGAGAGAGGCCAACCGACTGCCAAGACCCCTACAAGTGATGTCAACATTCATCAACAACAACCTTGTAGGCAACAAAGGACTCCTAATCCGAGGTTCCAGGAGGAGTACTCTTTCGAAGATGATGAAGTTCCGGCCATCTTCAAGTACCTCCTCGCCAACGACAAAATCAAGCTGCCACCGATCATAAATCAAGAGGGAGCAAACAAGACCTCGGATCCAAAGTATTATGCGTATCACAGGAAGGTACATCACCCCACCAAGAATTGTATTACGCTAAAAAACAATATTCAAGCCTTGGTTGACGCTAGCATCATAACGCTGAAGTAAGCCGGGTGAGAACGATTTCCTCCGATAGGTATATGAGGTTAAATTGCTCTCATCCTCTAACATGTATATGGGGTCAAATTGCTCCCATACTCTAATGGGTATACGAGTATAAACTGTTTCCCCAATCTCCAATGGGTATATGATAGCATCACTCAGAATAACGTAGAATGGTGAAATTTCTTAATCTTTAGGGAGGGATTGGTTGGTTGACAATAATCTGTAGTTAGGGATTACTTGGTCGATATATAGTGAGTTTCAAGAACTTTGAATAGATAACCGAAAAACAGAGTTTAGTGTTTTACATGGAAATGAAAAGAAAGCAAACATTTATGCATACATGATACATCAACTCAAGTAGAAAACACGGTAGCTATTTAATGTGATTTAGGAAGTTTAGCTAAATAAAGAGAAAGGCAAGAAATAGACTCGTCTTCCAATGTAGAGGAGGACAAACGACAGTAGCGGCAGAGAAATGGCGAGCAAAGCTGGCCAGCAAATAGCTGCAGGAGGAGGAGAAGGCCAAAGTGGGGATTAAGTTTTTGAGTGAAGAGGGTGGGGGGATTAGGGTTAGGGTTTTCACCGAAGAGGAGGAGAGAGCGAGAGAGCTTCGAAAGACAGCAACAGTGAAGTCCAATCGATCGGTCGGCCTACTACTGAAGGAGGAGGAGGAGGAGCTCGAATCAAAGGAGGAGCTCGAATCAGGGAAGTGAGCTCCGACGATGATGAATTAGAGTTTTTAGTGGAGAGGAGGAGGCGGTGAGAGAGCTCCGACAACGACGATGACGACGAGAGAGGAGGAGGGCGGCGTTGGTTTTGGCGAGAGAAATGGAGGGAGGGAAGCAAATAGGGAGCGGGATCGAGATATGTGATAGCAGGCGGAAAATAAAATTCGGGGGTGAGGACTCCCTCCGATTTTTTTTGGGAAAACTACATTGCCCTAACTGGTGGAACCGTTGATGCTGATAAAACTGACCCCAACAGTTCCTACCACCCGTTAGAGTTGTCCCTATTTGTACTAGTGGAGGGACTATCCACAAAAATAAAATTATAGGGGTATATCTGCAGTTAGGCTATAGTAGGGGTGGCCTATTCACAACCTTATTTTTATATATGCTCCAATTCCACGGTCTTGGTATACAGATTATTAAAAGTAGTTTTCGGACTTACTAAGGCATGGCAATGTCAGACGTAAAAAAATGCACAAGCAAAATATTAGCAAAAAGGTTAAGATAATCCATTCTAGAAGGGTTAAATTGAATGAACCCTATAAAGTAAAAGGATTTATTTATGCTCCAAGAGTAAATCCAATTAAGTATATAACAAACCAAGAGATGGCCACTCTATTTATAAATAATAAAATAATAATAATCCTCATTATTTTCCAAAATCAAAATTAATTATAAAGATTAAAATAAAATTTACCTAAGCCTACCCTTAGTTGAGGAGGGGAAGTAACTTTTATTCCCCCTCCCTTGTGCGAAATACTTTACCACTCATTAGACAGGTGAATTTGGGACATTACATAAACATCACATGTTTGGTTTTTTATTGTCTGGAGGAATGATGATGAGTTAAAATTTCTTAGCCCTTACAAAACAGAGCTTAACACTAACAATTTAACTCTTCAAGTTAACGAATATGCTCACTAATGCTAACTCTTTTCATGAGTACATTTTCCTTAAGCCTTTGCCGAATTTAAAGGATGTGTTTTTAATAGAAAACATATATCTCATTCTAATTATAAATCAATAAAGTATCTCTAGAAAATATCAGCATATAATCCAATAAAAATATTTACATAATCACGCTTTGATTATTTTTCCGTTTCTCAGACAAGATGGCAACTCAATGTGAATTCACACCAAAGACAGTGCTAAAGAGTAAAGAACCATGCGTTACCCTTCTTCCCTCATCCTCACGTGACACGCGTCCAAGTTCATCTAAGAATAAATCCAATAACTATTTTCACCAAATATTAAGAAAATCTTACCTTGTAGAAGAAACTCTACTCTTCTCTAAATATTCTTTTTTATTTAATCAGTTTCTATCTTTTTCACCAAATCCAACTCTCGCTGTCGATTCTTAAGCTCGATCTGCACCGAAGTCAAATTTCGAAGAAAAAAAATTAGCGCAAAAGAAAAATGAGAGATCTTCGTTCTCTTCGTCTTGATCTGAAGTTTCTAGGGTTTTCTCTAGGGTTTCTACTGCTATTTTGCTCCACTCACTGTGTCCGAGCTTCGATCCATGAGTATTCGAGTGGAGCTTTCTTCCCTCGCTCGAATTCCTTCTTCTTTCATGGCGGGAGCGAGGGTTTGTATGCGTCCGAGGTCAATGTTAGCTCCCCTTCATCCGATGGCAAATCGTTCATCAGGTGAGCTCAGATCTCAGCTTTCTTGGTTCTATCGAAATGATGATTGTTTGATTTTGTGCAAAAGAGCGTGTTTAATTGATGGAAGTGAGCTATGAAAGTGGAGTTTTTATCATGGAAGTGCAATTAACTGTTAAGATTCTATGTTTGTTTTGTTCTTGTATTAATGATTTATTTGCGGTCATTGCACAGTCAGCTTTTAATTATGGAAAACATGAGCTGCGTGTTTACCTTGAGGATAGTAATTTGAGCCATTTGTAAAGTTATGTGGATTTTAAAAAGCTCTCCTTTGTCGTCTCCTTTGATGAAGCATTGATAACAAAATCCTTATCTTACAACGAGTTTGTTAGGATGCTGGCAACTTTTGGAGGTACCTGGTATCGGTGGTTTTGGAAATTGGGGAATGTAACCCACTGATTTCATCGAATTTACACATAGAAATATATTACAACAACATAATAATAAGGGGTGTGGCTCAGCTCCGATCCAATCCATATCCACTAGAAGAGCATCGTGAGATGTTTCTGCTCACATGGAATACGAAACGGCATACATTAATGTCCTTGAATCACAAGAATATTTAACCTTCTTCTATATGGCACACGTTATTGTGATGAGTATTAGCCCCTTTGATGAAACCCACCCCAGGAAGAAGCCTCTTCATTGGAAAAACATCACCTTCCAATGATAAGCATCTTCCTTCCCTTGATATTCGTCGATATATGATGTCGTGCCTTTCTTTATATTTCCTTGTATCCCTCATATGTTGGAACACTTTGTATCATCCAAATATCCTCCTCCAATGAACAATATGTTATGAGGCCTTTTAAACACGTAAACCTCTTAAATGATGAACATTTAATTTACCTTGAAACGATCCGATCATCAAGCGAAACAATATGAGACTTTTTGGAGACTCAATTATTCAATCGACCAGCCTTATCATGCGAAAATAAAAAAGGAAAAAAAAAGAAAAAAAAAACATCATTTCTATCGATTTACTTGACCAGCCAATTGGCCTGACTTGTAAAGGATTACTTACCGTTCTTATTGATAATATTTTTCTTACAGTGTTTGATTATCTGACTTGGGAAACTCATGACATCATCATTTCATCCTCGTAAGTCGTCCATAGCTCAACCTTTGAGCTTGTATAGTCTTCCAACACCTTAAAGACACCCTTATACCAACACAAATACAAAAATGGATTAGGCTGACAAGGGGAAATGAATGGAAGCACGTTCGAATAGCAGCAATTGCCCTGTCCGGCTGTCCCGCCTAAGGGCCCTCTGAGCTTTATAATCTTCTTGTTCTTGGGAATTATTCAGAGGATTATCAAAATTTTGATCTCTTCAACCACCATCAACCATCAACGTGATCTGGATGCTCTCTCAAACTTGGGGCGTCCTTCTTTTGCAAATGCCAGTGAATATCCTACAAATGCAACAGAAGCATCTCTAGCAAAACTAACTAACTATAGCATGTAAATAGGAGTGGAAACAAGCTAAACTTGAGAAAGTTATCCTTGCTCGAGTTCACTCAATTCAAGCATATTCGAGGAAATTAGATATTGCTAACATCGAAGATGAACTTTTTTGCAAGCGGCTTGGAATCAAGCCTTTGATGTTCGTTCCAGGCGTCTCCAATTAACATATTTAGAAAGGCAATTTTTTAAAAGCAAGAAATACTTCTTTTTTTATACTTCTCTCCGCTTTCATTATGCATATAACTCAGACAATAGTGGATTCTAAGGGAAAATCCATGATGTCAGCTAAAGGTTTATTAATCATGAATTGTTTCTAATATGACAAGCTTTCCATAACAGAAAAATGTATGTTATATATTTCTATAGCACGGTTTTAAATATTGGTTATCAGGGATTTATTGGACGGTCAAAATCCATATCGGATAGCGGATATCGGGGATATATTGCGAATAAGTAATATTTATTGAAGTGACAACACCGGATGGTAATATACATAATATAATATTCTAAAATGTAATCTAGTCATACTTTATGAAATATAAACATACCAAAATGTAAATAATTATGTTTAGGATCACTAACCAATGATAGAAACTTGGGTCGGGTCGGGTGTAAAGTGCATTGAGTAGGTGCCTATTGTCCGAAATCTAAACTCAAACCAAAGACCGATACTTCCGATTTTTGGCCGATAACATTGGACGATAACTCACTTTATCGCCGCATTATCGGCGATAGACATCCAAAAACAACCATCGATTTAGAATCGAACTTATCATAGCGGAAGGCCCCCAAAGCTGATAAATCGCCAATAATATTGGTTTATCGGCCGATATTTAAAACATTGTTCTATAGTAGTTATATAATCTGTGTTAGAATATCACATAGTGTTAAAAATATGCCATGGCTAAACATGAGCTTACAGTGCTTGGCTTGAGTTTGAATTATTTGCTGATTTAACAATCAAAGTTCGAGTTATAAACCTGGTTCTTTTATGAGTGGTTATTTTGTTTGCCACCCGTATTTGTAGATCAATAAACACATAGTTCTCTTTGATCTAAAAATCAATGCGTGTGGAATAACATGGAGGTAAAGGAACCGCCATAGTTGACGAAAAAGAATTTTGCTTGATGCATTTAAATTTATATATTAGGTAAAAAGGAACGAGGAGTTCCATATGAGAGTGGATTTATTTTTGTTTCTTATCAATACACACGTCACATGCACAGAGCCACATGTCTGTAGCAAGCAATGAAATATTCTGTTGGTTACAATTATGTTTCTCTTTTGCTTATCTTCTGAAACACTGATCTCAGGTTTGAGTCTGTGACCTTTCGGCGGACAAAGGAGTCAGCATCAAAGCATCACGATATGCAACAAAAGACTGGATTGGTGGAAGCTATAATAGTTGAAATACAAGACAGAGAAAGAATTGGCGGCACATATTTTAACTCTGAGTTTATTTGCTGTACACCTGAACTTTACAAAGAGAAAACCTGTAAGGTGGGAGAGGTAATTATTCACCAAAATTCAGATAACCCTGAGTGGCCAAAACGTCTTCAAACATTTTTTGATGGAAAAAATGAGGAAGTCACTATGGCAACTACGACTGTTTTCATAGAAAAAACTGGAATGTACTATCTTTATTTCATGTTTTGTGATCCACAACTTAAGGGCACAGTAATCAAAGGTAGAACTGTTTGGAGAAACCCAGAAGGTTATCTACCTGGAAAGATGTCACCATTAATGACATTCTATGGTCTTATGTCACTGGCATATCTTGTGCTTGGTCTTGGATGGTTTCTCCGATTTGTGCGATTTTGGAAAGATATCTTGCAGCTTCACTACCACATAACAGCTGTCATTGCTCTAGGGATGTGCGAAATGGCGTTTTGGTACTTTGAGTATGCAAATTTTAATTCTACCGGAGCTAGACCTATGGGTATCACTCTATGGGCAGTGACTTTTACAGCTGTGAAGAAGACTGTATCCCGCCTTCTACTTTTAGTGGTTTCAATGGGTTATGGTGTGGTTCGACCAACATTGGGTGGGATAAGTTCCAAAGTTGCTCTGCTTGGTGTGGTATACTTTGTTGCGTCAGAAGCCCTTGAACTTGTTGAGCACTTGGGAAATATCAATGATTTTTCTGGAAAAGCCCGACTCTTTCTGGTTCTGCCTGTTGCTATCTTGGATGCATCCTTTATTATTTGGATATTTTCATCTCTGTCAAAAACTTTAGAGAAACTCCAGGTAAAAGTTATTTGTTTTACTTGCCATTGTGAAAGAGCATGTTTTGTGAATAATTCAAGTACCTTAATTTTGCTAATCATCCTTATCTATGATGTGACGCGTTAACTGTCTTACGTGTTACATATTGTACTATGAGTTTTCATATATATTGATAAGCTAGGAAAGGAAATTTTGCATGTACATTTATATGGAAAGCATAGGTTGTATCGACAAAAATAATCATAGAAAATTTGCTTATTTGAAATTGATGTTATCTTGCACATCATTAATTGAAGGAACATATTCTCTATTATGTCTTATCTTCCTTCTAATATGTCCTGTCGTTTTTGCTGATGAATTTTCTGGGAGGATATTCTTGATGGAATGCCCTATGTGTTCCCACTAAGTTTCTGTTGAGGTTCCTCCAGTATCTTGCAGAGGTGGAGTTACTAGTAGGTAAGAGTTTTCGGGATGTGAAGACTCCTTGTTTTCTTCAGCTAGGCTCATAAGTAAACATTTATTTGTTTGCTAAAATACTTTTGATTGGTTTTGATGGAGTTTTTATCTGTTGGATCATTAGTTTTTATCTTATACACACACACACACTACATATAAAAGAGGATTGCATTGTCAAAACTTTTAATTTCCATTTTTACCCTTTTAAGTTTGATAATTCTCAAATATTTCATTAGTTATAATTAATCACTCACTAATTATATATAACCTCATATTAATTATACATTTCCTCACTTTTTCAAAACCTTTGGTCAGACTATTATTTTATTAGTTAATTATGTAATTTATTAGAAAATTTAAAATTTATCCCTAATTTATCTTCACATAATATTTAAAATTCTAGAAAAATTAAAAATAATAAAAATTCATTAGGCTTATGCTTTACATCTATGGGTTTCACCTCTTATGGAGGCCTACCTGTTACCTTACATCTTATTAACCTTTTAAAAGTATGATAATAGTATGATTTTTTTTGTATTAATAGAATTGATACTATAATGATTTTAATAGTATTTTTAAATTAATAAATTACACTATAATTTAATAATTATACAATTTAGTAAATTATTTACTATTAGTGTAATAAACTAACTATTAAATTAAAATATAGTTACTAATAGTATTATAATTATGCCAAGTATAATATTATTATATTTAAAAGAAAAAATATTTAATATATTGTAAATATTTTAATAAATTATGAATAAATTATAATAATTATCCACGCTATAATAAGTAATCATATAGTTATATATACACAAATTATCGTACAGTTTATTCATTTAAATAAAATTATGACTGTTCAGAATTTATATTGCTATACAAGTCATTTCATTATTTTGCAGCCAACATAAAATTTTTGAAAAACATAAAACAAAATAGGTATGTTCTCGTGAAAAGCACGTGCACTATACTAGTATGTGTGTGCGTGTCTACATATATATATGTATATATATATACATATATATATGTATATATATATACACATACTAGTATAGTGCACGTGCTTTTCACGAGAACATACCTATTTTGTTTTATGTTTTTCAAAAATTTTATGTTGGCTGCAAAATAATGAAATGACTTGTATAGCAATATAAATTCTGAACAGTCATAATTTTATTTAAATCTTTTACTACAATGAAAAGAAGATGGCATATCATTAATGACAGTGAAGGAAATTATTCCTTTGATTACTGTAGGCAATTGTTCCTTTGATTACAGTTCAAATGATTCCCCATGTTCTGCTAAAAGGTGTTCTCCCTGAATTCATGTCTATTCCTGTTTGCTTTTCTCTTTTTTCTCTCAGTTACGGAGAAGTGTGGTCAAACTTGACTTGTACCGAAAATTCACCAATTCCCTGGCGGTGTCTGTCCTTCTCTCTGTTGCTTGGATTGGCTATGAGGTAATGCAACTTTTGCTGTCTTCTGGGGAACTATTTCTATAGGAAGTACCAGCAACATGCACAAGACTAAACATATATTTTAGCCCAGGACAATATTTTCTTTGTTCCAAAATGCAAGCTTATTCTTTTAAAGCACATGACCTACCCATTTATTCTGTTATTATCTATTTTGAAAGAGTTATTGTCTCCCAACGGCAAATATCATGAAGTTATGAGAACTTGAGAAGTGTGATCTTTATTTGGTCTAAGTCATAAATGCTTAGCACTGTAAATAGTGAAATATCTTGAGTGGTTTTGTGTTTACCTTGTGATAGTAATTGAGAAGTTTACTGAAATTATTTATTCTCATGCCTTGGCATCTATACCTTAGAGATCTACTGATAAATGAACAATAAATAATACTAACATTAAACATGAATTTATGATTTTTTATCAGCATCACGAAACTTTCAGAGCTTTCTTCTGACAGGAAAGTTCAAGACCCTGTTAGATCAGAACATTGTAAACGGAAAATAATCGTGTAAAACAGTGCAAAAGATAACGGTAGATATAATAAATGCGATCAGTACTGAAGCACTGTAGAACTAAATACCCTATGTTTCATAATCGACTGGTGATCCACCACATCAGACCAAGAAGCAACCTGTGCATATCTATTCTATTGAAATTTCCATGGCTATCATTAGTTTTCTCTTTTCAATTTTGGTGATATTCAGTAGCTAAATTGACTTTATTTAGTGCAGCTGTACTTCAATGCAACTGACCCATTAAGTGAGCTTTGGCAAAGGGCTTGGATCATCCCGGCATTTTGGAACACTCTGTCCTACCTTCTTTTAGCAGTTATCTGCATTCTCTGGAGCCCATCACAGAACCCAACTAGGTATTCTCCTGACCTGTCACACTCTTTGTATGTATTTATTTGATGATGTTTAAATTTCTAAGATTCTAAGTACATGTAATCCATGTAGAAATTTTTCAAGGGCTTCAACAATGAGATTATTCATGTAGATTCCAAGCACAGCTCCATAGCTTATGGATAACATATCTTGCTTCTATAATCAGATAATTTAGCATTTTCATTATTACTTTTGCAGATATGCATACTCAGAAGAAACTGGCGATGACTTTGATGAAGGAGTTGCTCTCACTGGCACTGGTGCCAAGGGAACAGGGGACTTGGTGAACAAGCTGGAAAGAAAGGAAAGGAAGACTACAGAGCATGTATTTGGGCTTGGAGACGACCTTGAAGAGGACAAACGTGAATGATAAGTTCTTTGCAAAATGGACTTGTAGCTGGGTGTGTGATTCTGGTATGCCTCTTCATATCCTTTGCTGTTTTCTTTCCTAAGCAGCGGATCCCTATCTGTTTGGGCTTTATATTGATGAAATGCAACAATAAGTTAGTAAAGTAGTCTGAATGTTATGGTTTGGTAGAAAGGTTTGTGTATAGGGAACAAACACACTTAACCATAAACATTAATTAGAGACAATTTTGCTGTCTTCCTACAAGATCAGAGTCCTATATCGTATATTATTAACAAACATATTGAAAATTCATATAGAGTTAATGTTGAATCCATGTAGTTGGTTTCCATGCACTGTTAATAGACAGAATCCAGCTTTCTGTGGATTTTTTAAAAATATTTATTGTGCTTTTTATATTACCTTTTAAGAGGATCCTGATGAGCATGCCTAAACAGAGAATTACAATTTTAATTTTCCTAACCCTAACCCTAACCCAAGTATACTGGAATATGTACTACTACACACAAGTCAAAGTCTGATTAATATTATGTACTAATATATATATATATATTAGAAAAATGGGTATGCTTGGTACCAAGCACAAATTTTGTGCTTGGTAGTGAGGTGTCATAATCCATTCCACTCATTCAAATGGAGGACCACATTCACATGGGTTGAGGAGTGCATGGGGATATGCAACCATTTGAATGAGTGGAGGGGGATGTGACACCTCACTACCAAACATAATTTTTTGCGCTTGGTACCAAACATACTCATTTCTCTCTCTCTCTCTATATATATATATATATATATTAATACTATTATATATAATATATATATATAATATAGAAGTATTTAATGAGAGACCGAGCAGAGAGATTAATGGATATGCCTGGTCATAGGAGGGGATTTACTCTTGCACCTCTAAAATTCACATGATTGAGCGCGACATTGGTGGCATGCATCCGCTCCGTTGGAAACTTGATCTAATATTCTAAAACCCGCAACACACCAATGTTTGGGCGTGAACCGTTCCGTCGTTGACATTCATCCAGCTCGTCATCCAATTTTAACGGGTTTTGAATGATAGAACTTTTTCACATGGCTCGATGGAGGGTAAAACGACGACGGATTCACGCGCCAAACTTTGATGTGCTTGGGTTTTAGAATATGTAGATCAAGTTCACCGGAGGCGGATCATCATAATGTCGGTCAATCATGTGATTTTAGAGGCGTCAATGGAGGAAATCCGCTCCTATGACAAGGATACTCATTAATCTCATATATATAATATATATATATATATATATATATATATATATATATATATATATATATATAATTATATATATAATATATATGTAGAAACTTGTGTCAACGTTAAGTGATAGTGAATAGCTGTTCCACGCAACTTTTATATCCACTATTTAACATATAAAAGTCACTTCATATATGCAAGGACTCCCTAGGAAACATCTAAGGCGTTTAAAAGTTAGTGGATGTCCACTTAAGTGGACACAGTTTTGGCCTAATATTATATATATATATATATATATATATATATATATATAGGGAAATATATATCTAAGGAGCCACTTTAGATTGAACCTAATATTGTCTGATAATGAGCAAGGAATATTCGTCTTTCTGCTAAATTGGATGATGCACCTTGAAAATTAGATTATATGCAATCAATTTATTTGATCCACTCCGTTCATTTTGATCTATATGATTTGGATGTCATGTAAACCAAAAATTAGGCATATTGGGTTGTTTTTACTAATGCATCAAGTGATAGTAAAATTAACGGTTTTATGACAACACAACAAAAGAGACAATGAAAAATATGTGCTAGAAATATTCACATATCATGATTTTTATTTTGTAGATATTTTAAAACATTTAGATCATGATGAATGGAGTGAATCATCCATTAAGTAGCTCAATTCATGCACTGAGAGGTGCATGCTTAGATGTACCCTAAGGAGCCTCCTTAGGTACATACTACCCATATATATATATCAGTGCATGCTTAGATGTACCCTAAGGAGCTTCCTTAGGTACATATTACCCATATATATATATATAAGAGGTGCATGCTTAGATGTACCCTAAGGAGCCTCCTTAGGTACATACTACCCATATATATATATCAGTGCATGCTTAGATGTACCCTAAGGAGCTTCCTTAGGTACATATTACCCATATATATATATATA